CAGGATGTTGAAACAGGCTCGTGTATGCAACCCCAGTGCGAAAAAGTTGCTTGAGCTTCAGCATCTCGTCCCGTGTTCCAGAGCAGCAACTCTTTCTCGAAACTGCCCTTTGATAAGGTACCACTCATCCAAGCCACTGCTGCTCTTTTCATGCCAAGACGCGCTCTAAACACGGTCCATCTATCAGATCCCTTGGCCCCGGTACTCCATGGCGAACCAGCAGACTGCAGAATTTCGTGCGAAGGTCGAATCAGACCGGGGAGCTCAACGTGATTCTGCGAAACTACGAGCCAGGCATCAGCGATCGTTCTTTGCCCTTTTATCCTGTGCTCGATGAAGTATCTGTGGTTATGTGTTGTGCAGAGGTGTTGTGTGTCGTGCGATGGGCTCCTTGCCAACATGGCAGCAGTCCGATAGTTTGGCCTTGCTTCAGAAGGCAGAGCACGAATCAATACATAGGGGGTATAAGAGGGTCACGTGGTCATATATTGCGATGCAAGTATGCTTGAGAGGGGCGATGCATGTACACATGTCTCGCTGCTATCCCATATCAAGGAGTGAACGCGTGAGTCTGTGGGTAAAATTTACCACCATACGGCTGAGACATGGGAGTCTCCAACAAGTGGGGATCACTTGTTGGGAACCCCCTGTAGTATGGAGTATGGACTAACTTATATTAGGACCTTTTTCGGGGCCACTTCCCAGACATCCGCATAGAAATGAGTACATCCTCTTAATTAGATCTCCAAGCGTATCCCTGCGCCCCTTTTAAACGCATCATATGCCCTAAACCCTAAATCCCCAAATCCCAAACTCTAGAGCCTATGTATGGACAACCTCCATGTGAGCCATAGTCCAAACTCCTAGTATCCCCCTTAATAGACCCTACAATAGTCCCCTATATATTCCCGTACATATTCTCCTATCTAACCCCCTTTAAGGAGTTTAGACTGTAGCTCATGTGGAACTGAGAGGCGAATGGCTGGGCCGCCACGTCGACGACGTGCCCCGTTGTCAATGAAACGCACTTTAAACTTGTATTCCCATCCCCCTAATCTTCAAACCTCCTACCCTTTGAGTATTCCTTGTACATTTATGTGTATACCACAATGGGACTATATAATATTGGGGCGTGGTGGGTGGTTTTAATATAGGAGGGATGCAGTTATAATCCACCACCTGGTCTAGGGTTTAGGGGTATCATTGTAAGCGCTAGCGCTCGTCCGCCTTGGCAGCCGGGCTGACAAGGAGGCCAAGACGTCGATAAACTATGGCAAGGCTAGGAGGGGCTCTTGGGGGGTTAGGATTTATTGAACGACCCATATGGGCCGGGGCGGGGGTGAGCGACTTAAGGTAGGAAGAGGGGGAGCAGGCTGGATACTGGTCAGCTTGTTCCAGACGCCTGTCGGCCCGACCTCACCTCAAATAATGGTTCATACCTGGAAATAGTCCCAGTTTGGCCGAATTTCATCCATCGAAATTGATGCAACATGGCCAGGTTAAATGTTTGCCACAAAAGAACAGCCACAATATCATGAAGCAGGATGTTCATCATGTCATCTATGTGGGTCTCTAAGCTATCTAAGGTTCGCATGTTCGCAGAGCCCGTGCTGGCAACAATTCTGCAGCCAGGGGGTGCCAGGCAGGTGGCAAATGAAACCCTAAATCCTAAGCCTGGAGCCCTAAAACCCTAAGCCCTAAACCTGAACCCTGAACCCTGAAACAGAAGTCTAAACCCTAAACCCTAAGCCCTTAAAGCCTGAACCCTAAACCTGAACCTGAACCCTGAACCCTGACGTCTTTCCGTGGGCATTGTGCGGCTGAGCAAGATGCACAGCTGGGACCATTAGTCTGGCATGCTGCAGTTTTGTCGGAATTGAACATGGATCATTATTAGTATGCTATATTATGTTTATAGTATATTCTTCTTATGCTAATTTATCAGTATAGTATGGTATCTTAATACTTTCAGAGGGGCAATCTTCCATGGATGACAACAGGGATGGCCTGCGCTTTTCCCTGCCCAACGATGCTGGGGCACTAACGGCAGCCTTGCGTGATGCTGAGGACTTGTAGACTCCAGCAGGGTGCCACTATGTCTGGGATAGGCCGTATTCGTTTTTCAAGATGGAGTTGGTTGGGGTTGACAGGCTTTCTAGGATAGAATACTTGGTGGGTCAGGGGGACTTAGGAAGCGATTACACCTGTAGCCCCTAGGCTCTAGATAGCCACATGCCGCCGGCATTTGTCCCTATTGTGCACCTACTTCCTAAGTCTCCCGGCCCTAAACCCTGAATGACATGGTAGTTTCCATTTTTTCCCGCTTATTTAGGGTTAGGTTCCCCTCAATCAACCCCTTGTTTCCCTTGCACTTTCCTTGTTTTTTCCACTGAGTTCCCATTCTCTACTGACCACCCTAAACCCTAAATGGTAGTTTCCACTTTTCTTGCTAATAAGCTCTACATCCACCTGATCCTCCAAGACCCTAAACCCTAAACTCTGAACCTTAAACTGGACAACAGCTTTCCCTGCATGCACCACAGCTAGGCAGGAGGGAAGCATCCTAAACCTCTACCCACGCCCCTCAGAATGAAGATTCCTCTAAGATACACAGGTACGATATTGAGGGGCTTCAATATTAGGACCATCCCTACAAACTCCATGGAAGCCCAGTTCCCATTTCATGTTCCACCTTCTTTGCCATTTGATCCTCCATTATCAGGGTTAAATATCCTTAAACCCCGAATCCTAAACCTTAAGCCCTAAACCTTGAACCTTAAGCCCTAAACCCTCAACCCTGAACCTAGGCCCTAAACCCTAGACCTAAAGCCCTCTTTGTCGGGGGAGGTGATTCCTTGCCAAGTATGGGGTCATATAGGGGCTATATAGAATATATAGGGATAATGGAAACGAAAATGGAAACTACAACCCCTAAACCCTAATCCCTAAACCCTGATCCTTAACCCCTAAAACCTAATCCCTCAACCCTAATCCTTAACCCCTAAACCCTAAACCCTAAAGCCTGGTCCCTAAACCTTTAAGGTTTAGGGCGGGGTTTGATTGTCCACCAGGATGCTGGCGCAGTTTCGCTTCACTCCGGTGCAGAGCTCAGCCTCGACCTCGGAGAGAGAGAGAGAGAGAGAGATAGAGATAGAGATAGAGCTGCTGTGTGTTGTTGTGGTTTGCAAGTGTTGATACTGGGAGACATCTGGGAAGCCAACCTGCGGAACCCTGAAAGCAAAAACCCTACCAATAGAGTGGGAAGCAGGGCTGCAGTTGTGTGTCACCGCCCAGTTGAGAAGGGAGCATCGTCATTGGAGAACGGAACATGGGGGGGGTATGCAATAGTAGGGCTATCTGAAGTTCTAAACCCAGTTCCAATCGTAATGACCACCGCTCCGGGCCTCCTGGGATTGAGGACTTCAGACACGTTCCGCGGGCTTGGGGTTCGCCCCAGCAGGGCTCTAGGGTCCTGCACAGCTCATAGAAGAAGAAGAGAGAGAGAGAGAGAGCAAAAGAAAGGTAGTGACTATCACAAAAGCAGTGAGAAGCGAGGGACACATGGAGATTGACTTGGAAGCGAGGGAGCGGGAAGGAATCTCCATGTGTTAACCTCTCCTCGGCTGTCTTTTCCGCCCTTTTTCCCGGGAGGTGAAAGCGCACCGGATAGGGTCATAGGTGATGGATAATTAGGCTTTCGTTCCACGATCCAGCGAACGCCGAAGCCTTTCCTGCCAGACATATCGGACTCTGGGCTGGAGGTTCGCCTCCGCGACACCTTCGGGTGTCGCATAGAAGAAGAAGAAGAGAGAGAGAGAGAGGGGGAGAGAGAGTGTGTTTAGAGATTCCGTTTCGGGTTCAGAGCTTCAGGTTTGGGAGGGTGTAGGGTCAAGGTTGAGTTTCGAACTGGGTAGCAAATTTGGTTAATTGGTGTTGTTTGAAAAGGGGACCTATATAAGTCTTTTCTGGGGCGTCAAAGTTGTATCTGCGCTGTTTCAGAGGGGTCCGGTGTTTCCAGGGGCTCTATCGTCCTGAAAGGTGTCAATTATTTGGGACCCTGGATTGCTTGGATCTTTCAACTTTGCTGAGTCAACATGGTTTGAGTGGCTCGTGCACGCATGCTGATGTTCCGCAGCGTCTTGGTCCGCAGTTTTGGCAGTCATCTCACAAGATCCCTCTTGCACCATGCAGCTCGTCTTCATCCAGAGCCTTTTGCAAAGTCACCTCGAGCATCTCTTGAGGTTGCTGCGTCCGACAGGGTTGTCATGATGTGATTTGACAAGACTTGCTTCAGGTGTCGGCTCGGACAGACGCTCTAAGAAATCCCTGCGTTTCCTTCCAATTGCCTTTCAAGTGCTCTTCTCAGGAGGTCTGTAGACTTTGCTGCACTGAGGATGAGGATACAGGCAGCCATGGTGCGAGTGGCACAGCCAGGAATGAGATCTGTGAAGCTGAGACTCTTGACCAACTAGTTGGGTTCGGTTTTCTTGCTCGGCATCTGGGGTACTGGCGCAAGATCTTAACAAGGGCATGCGATACCGATCTATGATCATGAGGCCAATGTCTCAGATAGCCATGGGCGTGTTCATGAACCCCCAAGATAGACTCCAAAATACTTTAAAACCTTACTACAGGGCCCCTAAAGTACCCCTAATTTGGGAACCTCCCCTATGTTACTCGGCATGAGGTTTTGTCTTTCGCAGTTTGGACTGCTCAGGATGTTTTGAGGCTGGCGCCTCTTTGGCCAGAAGCAAGGCCACACCTTTTTTCGTTCTTGAGTGTCGCGTAGTGAGTACGGCGTAGTTAAACCTCAAGTATTAGTTTTGTGCGCTCAAAGGCCCATGTTCGGCTATTCCATCCTTAACTATGAAACAGTAACCTTCTCTTGGCAGGCTTCCCGCGCTTTTGCCGCGGGGGCCGGTGCGGGTGCTGTCGGCCTTGCCCTTTGCACGCCGCCAGCACGTGCAGATGGGGCTGCAGACGCCGTGCCAGTCTTCACCATGGATGCGCCAAAGTTTGACCAGCCGCTTGTCAGCATGTGGGAAAGAACAAACTGCAGCCTTAAACTACTTCTGGTATTGTGTTGTCATGAATATTGTCATTATCATAATTTGCTTTTCTATGCAATGGTTGTTTTGGTTGGAAAGTGCTAGTATTTTGTTTTGGGCAGTGAATAAGGTCCACCTTCTATGGGCGGCTGCAGCTTGGACAAAGGGAAATCGTGCTTTGTTGCCTGGGTCTCTCTCTCTCTCTATATATATATATATAGAGCCCGGAAATATGGATTGCAGAAATTGGGGTTTATCTCCACGCAAGGATTCAGTCATGTTCTGCCCCCGTGTTGGTGCAAGGGACCAGGGAATCAGGAAGCCAGTTTTTGGGATTCGGGTTTGCTATGTACAGTTTGCAATCACGCCAGGGACTCGTAGATATGTTTTAAGGTCACAATGATGTAGAAAGTGCAGAATGGCATGTCATGACGACTGGATTTCACCCGTACTGACTGAGGATGGGTATGTATGATTACATCGACCCACGGACACTCCTCCTGACCAGCGAAGATCTCAAGAAATCACAGGAGCTCTGCTGTAGGAGGGTGGCCTTCAGTACTGATCGCGTGACGCCATCAGGAGCTCCTGCAGAAGTACAAGGACACAGGGAAGAAGCCAGCAGGCTTCCTGAACCCTGAACCCTATTGCACCGCTTTTTGCTCTGATCACGGCGTTTGCACGCAAACTTGACAGTGCCTTGAGCTGGTTAGGCGTGTCCGATGCCGAGATGTGGCAAGCGCGGAAGAATGTAGAAGCTGCTCAGCTCAGGAGCGTATAGTACTGGTAGTTGTATAGCAATGGTGGTTATATCAGTAGTAATTACCCGTCATACTTGTAATGTGAGTACGTAATCTGGTAGCTGGGTGAGAGCGCCTGCTGATTGCTTTCACGTTACGTCCTATATAACCCCTATAATCAACATACAAAGTCTATAGCCCTTGTAGTTTCCATTTTCTTTTCCACTCTCCCTTTATATCCCCTGCATTACCCCAATGATACCCGAGGTCAGCATTCATCCGGTCACAGGCGAGGAGCTCCTAAAGGTGGGGCGCATGTGCCTTGTATGAACCAGGACGCCTGGAACAAGATGCTCATTATAGGGGTCATATTAGGGTCATGTAGGGGTCATATTAGGGTCATGCAGGAAAACAAGCTGGAAACTATTATAATGGGTTGTATAGGGTATACTTCCCTTGATGTATGATGCGCGCACAACGTCGCTCGCTGTTGAGTTGTATTTGTTCCGAGGTCTGCCTTCGTTCCCATGAACGTGCCTCTCTGCGCTTTCATGCTTATGGCATCGTCAACTCCGCAAGTGCTTGCGGCGCAGTGGCCGCTGACTAAGCACCCGCTATGACTTCCCAGCGTGAGCTCATGTCCTTTACTGGTAAGGGCTGCGTGCAATTTAGAGGCATGCAGCGACTGGATGGTACGATTCTCCGAGGTTGAACCAGACGTACAACGCACTCAACAACTATGTCAACAGATCAGGTGCAACCGTACCTTGCCAGCCTAGCCAAATTTGTGATGCCGTTCTGACGCTGAAGTGATGTTGCAATTTTGTGGTTGTTGTCGCATAATACATAGCAGCAGGAGAAGCAGCAGTGGCATTAGTAGGCTGCAACGGCGGCAGGATCAGCAGCAACCATTAAAAAGTTAGGCATCAGCGTAGAGTCGTCTTAGCAGCGGCAAAAGGAGTAGTAGTAGCAGTCACCGCCGCTGCTCCTGCAGCATCATGACGCTAACGCCGACGACGCAAACAACGAGGACGACGAGGAGGAGGACAACCACGACCGCCCACCCACAACGACGATGATGATGATGATGATGATGACTACTACTGCTGCTGCTGCTGCTACTACTATTACTACTACTACTACTACTACGACGACGACGACTACGACTACGACTACTACTACTACTACTACTATGATGATGATTCGTGCAAGACAACCACCTCCATGGCAGTGATGTCAGTGTGATCCAAGGTGGAGTGGGCAGCCCTGCTTCAGAGCTATGGCCTAGCAGTGACCAGGTTGTTGTTAAGGAACTGCATCAAGCTACTATTTTCAGGAAACCCTGCTATTTACCATCTACCCATATTATGGGAACTTAAGCCCCAAACCCTAAATCCTATTTACTGTGGTAACTTAAGCCAACAAACGAAGCCCTAAACCCTAAGCCCTATATTATGGTGACTCAAATCCGCTGGTTTTGTGAAGAATATTATTGGTAACTTAATATGAGCTATAGTCTAAACTCCTAGTATCCCCCTTAATAAGCCCTATAGTAGTCCCCTATATAGTCCCCTATATAACCCCCTTTCAGGAGGTTAGACCCTAAACCCAAACCCCTAAACCCCTAAACCCTCACCCCTAAACCCTTTCTGGGCTGAATAGCTAATACAAGTTCCTTGACAGCAACCCAGGTGACCGCCTCCTGCTCAATCGCTTTGGGTGCAGGCCTGGGAGTGACTACAGAGCTCCCGCCGAAGTAGGAATATACCTAAAGAATAAGCAGTTTATATATGAGGGTTTAGGGTTTAGGGATTAGGGTTTAGGGATTAGGGTTTGGGGTTTAGGTTTTAGGGTTTAGGGGTTTGGGTTTAGGGTCTAAACTCCTTAAAGGGGGGTTATATAGGAGATTATACAGGGGACTACTATGGGGTTATTAAGGGGGATACTAGGAGTTTAGACTATAGCTCATATACGGTTTTGGGTTCGGGGTTTAGGCTTGTGCTGAAAACCAGCATGATTGTCCGCAGTTGCGGCTTCTGGCATCTTGCAGTTCCAGATTCAAAAGGGTTTAGTTAAGTTAGGGTAGGAAGACACTCAAAGAATGAAGAGGTTATAACCTAAATGAGCGAAAGTCTAAACTCGTTACACGGGGTTATATAAGGGATATCTAGTGGAGTATTATAGGGTCAATTTAGGGGGATACTCGGAGTTTAGACTTCACCTTTCATGCGGGCTTTGTCACAATTTGATGAACGTTTTTTTGCTGTGATGGTTTTGTGAAGCTCCTACATCTATCAAGGTCAGATGCTGCTTGTTAGTTTTCCGTTTTTCCGCGGTTTTGGTTTGTGGCACATCCTGCCGATAGCCGGTACTTCGCGGAATAGCACACGGGTAGTTTCCCCAAAGCTTTATTTGAGGGAGAACTAACCACCTCAAAATTCCAGCGCTGTAGCACACTTGTGTTTGTGCGATCGGGATACTGCAGGACGCCTCCTGAAGGCAGTGCCATCTCTGCAGGTGATGGGCCCTTTTGCCACTCGTGCGGCAGATCAAGGAACAAGTGAGTAGTATTTAATTTGAGGATACTATGGTACCCAATATAGAGTAAGATTATATCCTCCTTTTGGGGTATGGTATTTTATATCAGGAATATTATCTTACTAGGTGCAACCACCAAAAAAGCACTACTCAAGTGGAGTTGGGTTACCCTAACCCTCAAACTAGGACTCTTTATATTCATTACATGATCATAGTTGTAGCCTAGGTGAATTTGCGAGGTCTGGGTTGCCCAAGTCCTCACGCTAATGAAGCTATGGAATCTACTTGAGGGGGACTATAACCTCAGGATATATGCCATTATGACATAGTAGCTTCCATCTTCTTTTCCATTATCCCTATATAGCCCCAATAATACACCCGCATTGTAGTACCTACTCAAGGAGGATGTTTCGCTTCTGTTTTCTGTGTCAGAGTTTCGCTTGCGAGGAGCTGGCAGCTAAGTAGATAGAATATGGCTTTGGGTATATTATAAGAAGATCCCCATATATCCCTATTCTATGTACTTAATCGGGATTATAGGTGGAATGAAGCTATGAATGTAGAAAGTGTGGCGAGACCTAGCATCAGCTTTTGCGCGGCCAGCTCTGGACCACCCCACAATCGCAAGGTGCCTTATTTGGCCGTGATTTCAGCTGGCACAGCGAATGCTTCTCGGCCAATAGTTTCGTCCATCAAGCGCATGTCGACATGTCCAGTCGAGTAGAGGCAGTCATCATAACAAAAGGTAGCTTCCGCATCTAGGGGACCCCAAGAAACACCCCCCAATATGAGAATCGTTATCCCTCTAATACCCCAAAAAAAGACCCGCATGTTTGTTGAAACGCCCCTAAATTTTGGGAGGTTTCCCAACGTTAGGAATACCTTTTTTGGGGGTCCCCATCCCGAGGATTATAGTATTTTGGGGTCTTTATTGGGGTCCCCGTATTTAGGGAAACTACGCCAAACCCTGAACCCGAAACCCTGTATACACATATAAATATAGATATATATATATATGAATAGAAAAAAGATGTACAGTATATATATATATGTGTATATATATATATACTTATGTTCCTATCTAAATGTCCTCATTGCAGGTGTCCTTCACTCGATTAGAAGAGTGGAACGGCAAGGGAGCCCGGAGCTTAGTTGATTAGGATTTACGATTTAGGGCTGAGGGACGTAGGGGTTTAGGGGGTTTTGGTCAAAGATAAAGAGAGGCGGCACGAGCAGTAGTTGTCTGAGGCAGCACGGGCAGTAATTGTCTGAGCATGTTGCCGATTGTACCGTAGGCGTGTATGCTGAAGCCCATGTCGGGCTCAAGTTAGCTTCGGTGGCCCGGCGCCGGGCCCGTGGGTTGATCCAGCGCGAGACTGGGAAGGACTGGCCTCTTTATTACGCAGAGAGCTTTTGGAGAGACACCCCCCAAAAGGCGGGGAAACAGGCCTCGCGCAAAAGAACCAAAGCTAGCCTCCGAACTCCATGAAGCCACGGCCACGCTCGGCAAGGAGCAAGCTCGGGGACGAAGACAGAGAGCAGAGGTGGCAGCTGAGGGGCCGAGCATCAGGGGGAGCGCCGAAAGCGCAAGAAGAAGGCGACTTCCAGGGAAAGAAAGTTGGCTGGACGCTGGAAAGGAGGCATTGGGAGGTGGAGAAAGAGAAGCAAAAGAAAAAGGAGAAGGACAAAACATCAAAGAAAAGAAAACGGTTCTTCCTCTGAGGACTCTGAGGAGTCGGATTTTCAGGACGCCCCAACTTTCCACAATAAGGACGCGCAGCTGACGCTTCGGGAGTACTCCCAGAAGCATACGTGTCAGCTGACCTCGCGTGTGCTGTTGAAGATTCGAAATCTGCTTGCACGGGAGGGAGGGGCGGGCCCGAACCGCCAGACAGGGGACCCAGCACCTCCAGTGGCAGCCTACGTGCTGACGATCCTGGCCCCAGAGCACGAACGGAACGCAGTCCTCACGGCGCGGTCGCTCCGAGAACCGAAAACCCTCGCAGCAGCCACAGGTCTTCAGTCGTGCAGATCTCTGGGTCAGCGATTCAAAGCAATAAAGTCATGGCTAGCCGACTCGGGTTGGCGCAGGGCCCCGTTCTGGGAACTGTTGCCCAGCGAGGGCTCCGCGCTCCTGCAAGTTCGCGAGTCCGTTAATTGCAGTATGTGGCAGTGAAGGCGTGAAACCTCGAACACAAGCTGCGGAGGACGCAGCAAGGGCCCTTGTGGCAAATGCAAGAAGGAGACGCTGAATCCCTCAATCACAGGACAAAGGGGCCGGGAAAGGCAAAGACGAGAAGGGGAAGGGCAAGCGAAAATAGGAGTAAACGAAAACGGATGAAGTCCTAGCTGACGCCCCTACCAAACCCCCGGGAGAGTCGGCTCTTTGTCCCCGGGGGACTTCACAGCTTCGACAGGGATGCTGTTGAGGTTGAGGCTGGGAAGAGCCAAGATATGGGCAAACGGGGGCCTCAGCTTTTCTGGCAACTTTCCAGGGCAGGCTGCACACCTGGGAAAAGGCATTGCATGCAGCCCATGGCCAAACAAGAAGCAGCGCTCGCTGTAGTTGTCTGCGCATGCTGCCGATTGTACTTTAAGCGTGTATGCTGAAGCCCTTTTTGCAATCCCGCCCTCCCTCCCAGGGCGAAGCAAGGAATTTCCCCCGAAGGGGAGATTTTTCCTCGTTCGAGACCCCCTGCAAGGGAGCTAGGGAGTTCACGGTAAAACATATGGGGGCAGGGCCCAATGTGGCCATAGGCTTTCATAGTAAGCCCGGACCCGTTTGGGCCTTGGATGTCTTGTCCGCCACGCTTACTCGCGCGCGATGACAAATTCTTTTTGAAAGGTGCTCCCTTCCGGGAACGGCATCCCCCCATAGATGAATGGAAGTCCAGTATAGATCCCAATTCATTGTAATCCTTATTGGAGGGAAACCTTGCTTAGACAGGTTTCGGTCACGTGGGAAACGGGCGTTGCCTGCAGCCTATGGGTTTGGGGTTTAGGGTTCGGTGCGCCGGCCAGTGCCGACCCTAATGATTGGTGGTGAGTCGGGAAAGGCATGTATTACATGGGATTTATGTAGGATTGCATAGGGATTATTAGATGCGTTTACAGGGCTTGTATTGGATTATATCCCCTTATTCCGTACTCACCTGCAGTGAGTTTAGGGCGACTATGCTGCTCCTCGTAACCATTGCTCTTGCAAGCAAGTCCTGCTATGCCGCTGCTGACCTTTCTACAGCTCATCCGTGTGAACTCGTTACTGAGACTTTGCAGTTCCTTGCTGCTGCCACCACGTGATCCACAGGTCGCCATTGTGGATGATGAGGGCAAGGAGCTAGGAATGTCTCGAGCTGCTGGTCAGATGGGTCGCTCGGTTCTTTACATGGGACGGTTTGAGCATACCGGGGGTCAGCAAGATCAGCATCTCCCCGTGTCGTATCATCTTCTTGAAAAGGACGACATCATGGATCAATGATGGCTTCAGGTTAGTAGGGATTGAAGGAATAGCATATGTCGGGACCATGCTGACGGATGATGTAGGGATTATTGTAGTTCCCTGCTAGCTAGCAGCAACTTCCAAATGACAGAATGATTTCCAGTTTCTTTTCCATATCCTACCACCAGCACGATGATACATGTCGGGACTTCAAGGGTCTGGAGTTTTTGCCTGAGGAGTCCTGCAGACCGTGCTGTCGAGAAGCTGCTTTCTGCGCCTCGGCTCTTCTGGATGTTCGGTCGCCCCTAAAAACTGGTCCCTTCCTTGATAAGGGATTTCCGAAAAGGGGCTCCGCATTTGCGAAAACCATGGCTTGTGTTCTTCTCCGCGCAGCAACCCTTACATTCAACAATAGGGAGCGAACATGGCCGTCCACCGGTGACTTAGGCCAATTGCTCCAATGGTGATGCCCATTGTTGGCATGAAAGCAATTGGAGCCGTGGCGCCGGTGCTGACTGCCGGTGTTTTGGGCGTGGTCACTGAAATTGTGTGCCGGGGCTACATTGAGCATCAACACCACCCCGAAGCACCGACCACAGGGCAGGGCTTGTTCACCAACATGCAACGTATACTTTACGGTGCCTTGAAACCAGTCAGCGGCATTTCCGTTTTGCACTTGTTTCCACGGGGGATCGGCGCGGCAATGTTTGGAAGGTTGATCACGGGCTGTATCTCCGGAATGCTGCCAGTGGCCCTGGCGCTTCTTCCGTGCCTTCGGCAACGTCGCGGTACATTCTCTTGGTAAATTTGGGTAGTTGCTTAAGGGGGTTTACTTGCAAAGAAAAGTTGATACACTTGAGGTGGTTTTGTCTTGTTTTGTTTTCTGTGGGCAGTTCGGTCACTAGCACCGAGCGTTCGCGTGAGCAACCTGCATGTAGCCATGTGGCCCATGTTCAGCCATGTGCTGGCATACTTATACTTATACAGATACAAGATACACAAGCTATTGTCTAATCTCGTAGTATCCCCCTTCATAGTCCCTATATGTCCCCATGAGATTCCCCTATGTAATCCCCTTTAAGGAGTTTAGACAATAGCTCACATTCACATGAAGTTTGTACGCGCATGGCCTTCTTTGTGCTGAGGCAGAAGATGGAGATTGCAGTTAGCAAGCTGGAACCTGAATTCCAGAATCTCAAGGCAGGATTGATCTCCGCTGCCACCGCCCTAAGCCGCTATGCTGACAACCTCCAGGATTCCAAAGGGCAGCCCATCACAAGGGTGGGGAGCTAAGATTCCCTGAGAGCTGCTCTCTGATTTGGGCACTGGCTATGCTGTGCGTATGCCTTCAGGTTTTTGCGAACAAGGGCCTGTGAGCTCCAAAGCTTTTACAGCTGGACGGCCAACCATTCGTCCGCTGGAATTTTCCATTTGCTTAGCTGGCATGGCATGGACCAGTAGACTAAGACGTGAGACACAGAGGCACAGTAGTTACTCCATAACACTACAGTCTTAACTTCGCAAGCATGCCATAAGCTCCTGTTTAGTCATGTTCGCCACAGTTGCGCTACCATGCCAGCCTTCCCTGCGCTGAATCCAGCTGCAGCCAATCCGGCATGAAAGAATTCAGATGTGTATCCATGGCCTCAGATCCACAGTAGAGCCTTCAACTGCAGCTTTCATATTGCGTTGAACACAATATTATGCATTGGGATAATATTAGGTTATATTGGGCTTATAAGGGATAATGGAAAAGAAGCTGGAAGCTACGATATTATAATAGGATATATGTTGGGGATATACTGGGATAATGGAAAAGAAAATGGCAACTACTATTCAGGATTCATAGTGGAGGCGCCGGCCAAGGATAGCCTTCAAGGAGAGTGTGCTTGGCCAGCAGCATGATGTAATTATCCTGGATCTTTCCAACCGCCGAGCCATCTCTTTACAAAGTCTGCTCCAGTTGCCATTGGGCACAGCAAAGCTTAGAAAGAGCAGACTATACAGTTGCCTGCAGGCGAGAAAGGGCAATCGGTAGGTCGCACAGTGCGTCGGCAACATTTTGTGCAAGATGGAATTTCATTCAAACTGATGTGCAGCCTGTCACTTGTGTTCCGCCTCTTCCAACATCAAGACCCGATGTCACGACGAGCCACCGAACCCATCCATGGCAAGTAGAGGCCCGGCAACTGCCGGACCCTCAGGTTGTCAAGTTAAAGTCATGACGCGCAATGTTTATACGTTGAACTTGGGAGTTGCATGTTTGAAAGTCCCACTCCTGGTGCTTTCAGGTGTTGCGCGTCCTTGCCGCGCTGTTAGTTGTGCGGACCTACCAGGTGGGACGATGAAGGAGGGTTGGCAATGCTTCATGGGAAATCACCTCACTCTGGGGACAGCAGACAGCATGTAGCTCGATATTCCTTTAGCAAATGTGTTTAGGGTGGCAGAGACAGAGCAAGGGACAGCAGTGTTCGCATGCAGATTCAAGCCGCAGAAGAAGGGTGCCCTCAAGATGCTTGCAGACTTCCAGCACGTGACTCCGATGCAAGTTTGAGGGAAGTCCGAGGTGCTGATTATTCCTATTTCTATCACTATTACCAATATTAATACATCATGGCAATTCCTGCAGCCATTCTGGGTAAGAGTTGGCCAACCGGTGCTTAAGGGAGAGTGGGGGAAGTCAACCCCTATAATAGTCCCTTTACAATCCCAATATATATATATGGGGGTTGTCCGAAAACCCTCGTTTACGATTTATATAAACGAAAACCAAGTA